CTTGAATTACTTGCACACAACTGCGGCACTGTAGCAGGTCTGTATTAATGTACAATCCGGCTGTCGGGCTATAAATAACAAACATGTCATCATGAGATTTTTTTTCTTCTCCCTCACACAGTTTTCTCTTTTCTCTGTCTCTCACCAACAAGGCCACACTAACACACACACATACTCTCTCTGTCACATACGCTCATTCACTCTCACTCTCTCGGTTTCACTCACTCGTACTCTCCACACTCTGGTGTAAAACTGACACAGTGATTAGCCAGGGGCAGGTTGGTGATGACTGTGAAGAGCTCATGAGGGTTTTCTCCCCCCTTCTTCCTTACTAACATCCTCCCTCCCTGCCTCCACCACTCCCTCTCCCCCCTAGAGGAGCAGAGGCCTGTTTGCCACCAGGAAACATCTGAGGGTAGCATCGCACTCAGAGCTGTATATTGCTGGGATGCCAGTGAGGCTGCAGTGAACAACAACCAGTTGGGATCACAGAAAAATTCTCTCGGCTTCGGGACTGTGTATCACACTTACGCGCACTTGCCAAGATTGCCTGCTCCAGTTGCCTGCACTCGCGTAGGCAGTCTTTCATGGCAAGGCAGGCAGCCTGTTCACTTCCTGTCAACAAATATACTTCTATTGTGTTAATATCTTTGATATTTCATAGTTCCCTCTGTCAGCTGCTTTCTCAACCACTTTGCTCGTTGCTCTGTTGATCTAAAAATTGCAACGAATCAGAAAGAAAATCACTCGTCTGTTTAAAAAAAAAAAAAAAAATCATTTAATGAGTAGTAAATGTTGACAGACTGTCAGAACTAGATTAACTTTAAAATCTAAGTACAATATGATGATGATGGTGCAGATATATCTTGGTATTTTGGAATACTAATGTGCAAGGTAAGACGATATCATGAGAAGAATAAACCATCAGGCTTGATACTTTGACATTCAACCTATCCAGCCGTTAGTCTTCTGAAGTACCAGCATTAGAGACTGTATAGAGAATATATAGGCAGAACATATAGGAAGCTACCAAAGACAGAAACAGCCTCAAGACAAAACTGAAGCTGCTGGAAAAACTCGTCCTACTTTCTTCCAAGAACAATTGGCTGCTTCTGCAACAGCGCTCAACTCAGAGAGAGAATGAGGAGAGGGGAACAGATTTGATAACGGTTTGCAATTACCACCAATAAAAAGAAAGTGTGGTTTTTGTGAGTGTAGGAATTCTCCTCCCTTTTCCCATGGTGGTGTTGGACTGTGTTAGGCTGATGGTAATGGGGGACAGGCTTATTTCACTAATGATTTAACCACGGCTTTGTCTGTTTCTCTGCCTGCTAACTGTGCTCTCTGGAGGATGGCTAGGCTAATCCAAAAATGTGGCTCCAGTTTGGAGAACATTCACAGCTGTCTTCTGGTGTTATGTGAAATCAGGGGGTTTATTTCAAAATGGGACTTTGATGAAAACAAAAGCCCTCAATAAGAAGATAAAACAGATAATACAATAATTTGTATTCCATAAAGAGTGTCAACTTTATGTCAAAGATCAACTTTGATAAGTTGGCATCACTTGTGTCTTACAGCTCGACAGTTAAGTTCAAGAGTGATCAACTCCAGAAAAAATATACAACACTAGTGGTGGAAGAGCCTCACAGCTCTGTGGGTCTTTCCTGTATCATGAAAAAGGTGAAGCTGATGATGCAGGTTTTACCTTTGCAAATCATAGAAGAAATTTTAAGAAAGGTCACACGAGAGGAGATCTCCATCCAGGTAGCTTGCTGATAGCTAGCAAAATCATTATAATAGTAACACAACAACAACAACAGAAACAACAAATCGCTAACCAGGTCATCGTTGTTTACTGTATTTTTGTTTTGGATGGGCACAATCTTTTCTCTTAGTGTCTTCGAGGAAGGTGATGAGAGGTGCGGGCCAAGAAACGACTGCTGGCATCAAGAGCTTGGAAGGCAACACCACATCATCCAATTACAGCGAACACAACACCTCCCTGCTCTTCACTGCCAAGTGTAAAACAAACCAACAGCAGCAGAAACTAATGGATACCAGAGAAGGCAGAGGCAGAGGGAGCATGTTAATGCCGTCCTACGCTACTATCGCTTCCAGGTGAAATGCACAGGGGACGAAGATGAGCAGCTACCTGGGAGTCAGAAGCCTTCAAAGACAGAGCTATGTATGCTTTGTATGGCAGCTCACACAATATATAGTACCTCTGCCTTTGCCTGAGCAGGCATTTCATCCTCCTTGCTTCCTCCAACCAGCCCCAAACCATCTGAGTTGGTGCATGTGTGTGAAATCGAGCCTGACGAGTCTCATTAAAAAAAGAAACATTTCAAAAATAAGATTTCATACACTTCCTGGTTGTGAGGGGGATGTTTTGCTGCCCGCCAGTGCTTGCTGCTTACTACATGTACGTTTTTTCTTTTTCCTTGGCATGGTGGTGGGATGAAAAATATGTAGTTTCAGCATCAGTATCACAATGCGCACAAGTACAATCATCAGTCCCTCCAAGGAGTCTCAGGAATGATGATAAATTCAACCAATCCCCACAATATTTATGAGACCTTGCAATTTTTTAATCCCTGTGATTTTTCTGCACAAATCGACCCAACTCAGAGAAGCACAACTTCCTTGGTAAACGGTAAGGACTTTCTTCCCCTTGTAGCACTTGGCTTCCCCAGGCACTCCAAATAAAGTGATTTATATTTAAAGAAAAAAAAACAAAAAGAAAAACATATGATGTTATTTTTCCATATTCAGTTCGGCCCTAGTGAGTCTGTGTATTGTATCTTCAAGAAAATGTTCCAGACAAAGCCAAAGAGAAGATAGTTATCTGGTGTTCCTTTGTAAAAGGTCAAGTACAGCACACACAGTATCTATTGTTTTTACACACACACACAGTAACATCTGTGGAGACCGAGCACATGTAAACAGAGCCGGACCCAAACCTGTTGAGACACAACAACACAGATGGCTGCTTTTTTACCCAGCTGGCACTGAGGCATATGGAAACAGAGATCATTAGCGAGACAGCAAGTGAATGACAATGTCATTAACAGAATCCTAATAACAGGTACAAAAAAAAAGTTAACACCTCTGAATCAACATTTACCACTGATCAATACTTCTTACTGACAGCGGATCATTTGACTATGTGTCATGTGAAAGGGATTACTCCAAGTGAATTATCATTATCAGAGTGTTTTACTGTTTTTCAGTTCACTATTTTGGTTTTATGGCCCACAACTTAACTTTTACGCTTCCCTCTCACTGATGTCGTCCTTGATTCCTGTACTAGCAGCTGCTTTTGCCAAAAAAAAAAAAAAAAAAAAAAAGGCCAACTGTACCTGCCCGCCATTAACCAGCAGACAGACAAAGTTAGCAAATAGCTTGTGCAAGTGGTCAGAAACACAACTGTTTGGGTTCACAGCTTGTTCTGCTGCCCCCTAACCTTTGACCTTTAGGGCACTATTTTCGTGGCGGTGTAACGACCAGTGCAAGCAGTGCTCTGACAGTTTGGTAATTTCCTCACCCTGAAATTCACTTTGCGCATCTGTGTGGTATTTTAGTGCCCAGGGCAGAGCGTAGTGATTCTCTCAGTATCTGTTGTCCACAGCTGCTTTATTCTGGATGTGAAAGAACTTCTCCTTCAGTTCAATAAAGTCCTGCAGCCATCTGAAGGCAGCAGGACACATATGTTGCCTGGCACAGTGCCTTTATATACCACATGGTCACATTTTAACAATACGATGTGACCATTTATGAAGTCAGACAGAGTAGAGATAAAACTGAACTAGCATCAAGGTTGGTGTGGTCATTCAATTGGCTGATTTGAAGTGTTATAAGTTCACATCCTGGAGAAATCTCTTTCCATTTTGTTGAGCTGGCGTTGTTACGCATCACTGATAGACACAGCCGTCTCAGAACGAGATCAGTGATGTGATAGGCTAAGAGTGAATTAATGAATTAATGAATAAATCATCATTTATTAATCACCACACCGCCACATTCATATTCCACTTCAGCCAGCCCCTCTGCACTTTGCGCTACTGCACCTACATGAACCAAAAGAGCAGGTGAGCTTGGAGACGGCCACCATGCACTGAAGACCCACCACTTTGCGCTTTTCATTGTGTTTGCATGGTTAAAACGGGGCCCTTAGTTTGCACTGATCCTTAGTCTTCTTTTAACTCATATAGACCTCTGACAATACTCGATAGAAGTTTCTTTTCTGTCAAAGATCAACCCAAAATCATTAAGCTTTAATCTCTGACATGTTTCAAGTACCTTTTAGCGTTGACAAACCGGTCCAATCATAATCTAATATTCACCCAATGTTCCACTACAAGCATCAGCTGTAACGAAGCTCATCAACTCATCCAGTTATTCAGGCTGTTATACTTCTATTATATATTACATCAAATATGGATAGAGTAAGTTCTGAAAATCATACACTTACAGGCAAACAGCAATGCTTGGAGTTGCAATCAATATCACAGTCTGTCAGTCATTAAGTTGGGAACACTGGCTCTGTGTATACAGCTTTTGATTTGTAGTAAGCAAGTATTGCCGTACTAATACCAGAGTGTGCTGTAGCAGTGCAGAGAGTGGAATCAGCAGAATAATGAACACAGCTTGAGAGAATAATCACAGCACGACTCTGGTCCACAGGGAGTTACCCGACTCCTTTGGCATCAACTTTAAGAGTCACAAAAAAATGTATCTTCGCAATTCAAAACAGTCTCGCAAATAAAAGCCACGGAGAGGCGTCTACTGCAGAGGGTTTGGTAAGTCATTAATTCAAATGTGCATGCTGCATGGGCTAACTAAACAACCATTAAAAGACTATGACGGCATGAGAGGAACACAGATGGAGAAACAGACCAACACACACACACACACACACACACACACACACACACACACACACACACACACACACACACACACACACACACACACACACACACACACACAAGTATACTCACAATGCAATGAATCAAGCAGCAGCACTGGCAGCCATGGAGTCCAGGTTGATGAAGCAGAGAGCACCTACTGCTGGAACCTACAGAGGACAGAGAGACAGAAAGACACAGACAAAAACAGAGACAGAAAGACAAACAAAATGCGTGAGAGTGTGAGAGAGGGAAAGAAGAGGGAGGGTGATGGAAAGGGAAACAGAGAAAGTACAACAGAGATAGAGGGAGAGAAGAAGAGAGAGCATTTTGTTAGTTTGCCCAAGGCAACATCTCTGAACATCGTGGCTCATTTTCAGAGCAAGTCATTGTTCTGGCATGGCATTACAGAGCAGATATCAGATTTAATGGTACATTTAGCACCCGGGCAAATTCATCTAAAAAACATAGAGACTTTAATACACAAATGGGCACAACTTGATGCATATGAACTTGTTTGAGCTTCAAACGGCCCTGAGGTTTTGTTCTAAGCAACACTCATTGCTTCTCAGACCTATGATAGGGCGAATACCATTTACAAATGTTTTCTTTTTTAATCTGCTTGTTATATGGTATGTGGTGGATGGGGTTTCTGCATCAACAAAACAAGCGTCTGATACTTTTTTTTGGAACTGAATATAATTTGTTCATTGTAGCTGTTCAGCAAATGTATGTGCATATAAATGTGAGCGCATATACAGTATTCCCTAATGATGTAAGTTCTCTTTAAGTGTTTTTTTTTCTGGGTGCAGAGCTGCATATAGTTTGGTCTGGTGTGATGAAAATGACACTCCAGTGAGCAGCTGAGCTGAAGTAGCATCATTACACAAATATCAGATTTAGTGATATACTCCCAGGGTACTTCATTTTCACATTCTGAGCAGAAAAGCTGTTGCATCAGAAATCAAAACACAATACAGACACAATGAACTGCATTTGCTAGTTTAATCTTGTAGCGCTCCTAGGCGGTTTGAGTTTTAACTGTCAGACAGTCATTTTTCTCATTATTAGTGCGGACATTTCACTCGTCAATGTACCGTGCATCAGGTTTTACTTTGGTAAATATATACACGATGCTCAGTTGAGCAACATGCCAGCATCTATCTTGTCCTGGTATCCTGCTTGCTGAAAATAAACTGGACAGTAACAGTTCTCCTAATCCTGCTGGTGGATTTAATGTCAGCTGTGAAGAGAACAGCACGTTTTCTGTCAGTGTACTGAACTGAATTGCTCAGTCCATTTGCAAATTCTATTCTCCTTTCTGCCATATGATCTGTTCAAGGTGCTGTATAGCAACACTCATGGAGACAAAATAGGTGGCTCCATGAGTGTTGCTATGCAACCAAGGATAACTTAAAAAAAAAAAAAAAAACTACCCGACCCCCACCCCCTACTCTTATTAGGGAATCTTCAAAACCATTCTGGATTAAGTTATCCGAGGACGAAGCATCTTGTTGGGGTATAAAAATAGCCACAGTCATCTCAGGAGCTTTGGATTTTTTCATGAGCTTATTTACTCGCTTTAGAATGGAAAAATTATCCGTCAAAATGGGAATGTGGAGAGAAAATCCATCGAAGTCCATGGAAGTGTTGTGGTGATAAAACTGTTGGTGTACATTAGCGAATGAATGCAGTTTCAGAATTGTTCCTAGGTGTGTAAGCTTCCTCTTTACTCCTGTGGGGCTTTAAATCATGTCTGATTATGGATAATTGTGACCAAGCTGGTCACAGCATCATGAGCTTCAAATCTTCATTCTTTTTTTATGTGCAGTTCATCTCGGAGTGAATGAGGAACAACCGGCATGCAGACTCATTTGTATGCTCACACACATTATCATATAACTCGTGGTATAAATGCACACACAATTCTTTGGCCAACAGTGAGACACAATTACACTGGAATAACTTTATGTGGTGATCCTGTTTGCCTCTTATGTAACCCTCATTGCTATGCAGTACATTCGCCCAACCCCCACAGCTTTGATGACACCTAATGAACATTTCTGGCAACTCTCAGGCACAAGGCACTGACAGCTTTCTGAATTGTCAGTGTGCATGCTGGTTATAGGGAAATTGATTTTTTTTTCACAATTTGGATTCTATATTTGTAGTTCTGACCTGTATTCCAACGGATTATGATTATATATTTCCCACCAAGTTAATTGCTGAGCTCTCAATATGGTGCCATTGCTACAATGGAGTCCACTCATAGTAGCATCCTACAAGCAGCCTGACAATTGAACAGGCTGTAAATAAACAATTATTACTATTAGAGGAAAAGAGAGATCAAATCAATCCATCAGATTTTGCAGAATTACTACCTGGGTCACTGTTTATCCACCATACCTGTACCAAAACTAATGCTTCAGAAAATATGGTAAAACTGGATGTTTGTCTATAACTTATATGATCATGTGATCACAGGAATGATGACTAAAACAACAGAAGAGACGCAGGTTAGATGCAGGTGGAAAAAGAAATGTGAATTTTCCTTTGAACAGTGTATGGCTAAAGCTCTCAGTTAGGACATACATCATCTCTTCTATGTCATGAGTGGTGGTCCACTGGTCCTGGGTAAGTACCTCAACTAATAGCTAACTAGTTGTGTCATGAGAGCCATGTAGAACAGATGAAGGATCAGGAGTCTTGCTCCAGACAGTTAGGGCTCATTTTCATAATACGGTAAGCAACATTACTAAGGCTGAAGAAGGTAAAGAGCAGTTATATTATACATCTATGCTCTGTTAGTTTTAGTGTTACTGAATGACAGCACAGTGTCCTCCCACACACTCTCAGAGCTACACACACCTGGGAGCTGCCCAATAAAACCTCCTCCAGTTGACCTAAGCAGGTCAGCTGGATCAGCCTAGTTAAGTGGCTCAGTGGACATATGACAGGAGAACAATTACTGAAAAAGGTTTGTTCAGTTTTTCTACCTGGGTTTAACACTCTGAAACTGGCAGCCTGGCAGTCATAAGCAGGATTATCAAACCTTTAGTTTAACGCTGCTCTGTGTTCTGGTTATTTCTCTTCAGTGGCTGCTCCAGTATCAGCGTAACACTGTTTGTTTTGCACATTTCTGCTGACTTAAATTTAAGTGTGATGTTTGCAGGTGCCGATGCACTAATGTCCCCGCCTCTGTGAACTTTGCTGACTGTAATCCCTACCTCATACCTAGTAAACAACAGCTGGTTCCAGCAGTCCATCTGCTACCTGTAAATTCCCGGACTCACAGCTCTCGCATGCTATTGGTTTTTCCTGGGACACTGTGAGTGTGTGTTGCTGCTTTGAAACTATAATAACAGTTTGAATTTTCAACTAGCACACTCGACGGTAAACATGCTTTTACTTGGCTGTTTGAGAGCTGTCTTTCAAAGCATGACTCAATTGCTTGAAAACAAATGTACTGATCACTCATGTGGGTAATGTCTGGAAGGTATGTTCAATATCTACAGTGTAAGCCGACATTTAGAACCTCTCATAAACTTAATCTTGCACAAATCAGTTAATTCGGTTAATGGTTTACCCAATGCGCGCGTTCATGAACTGTCCCCTTAACAAAATACTACCTTGTATTCAGTCACATGCCTCCTCCTCATCCAACTAATGTTAGCCCACAGTCACTCAAAGCAAAGCTTGCGAAAACACCGAGCCTCAACCCGAGCAGCTTATACTTAAAGAGAATTCCGTGTCTGTCTTTTGGGAACAAAAAAAAATCAAAAGCAAACACGATCAGATTGACGAATACGAAGAGTGCACGGCTCAAAATAAATAGAGACCAATCAGTGCCAAATTAATTGTTCATTAGTCGTAATCAAGGTAAAAGTTTGAAATAATCTTGATATTGATTTGATGTCGTATCGCCAAGCCCTACTACAGTGTATGTGGGCAAATTAAGCTTCCTGCTGTTTAATGAGTCCCAGTGTTTGTTACAACAAAGCAGCTGTTCAATTTCTTTGGTGTCACTACTGAACAAAATTATGAAAGGACAAATTATTTACTAAAAGACGCTCAAACAGTCGCACTCAAATATATTTGGAAAGGAAGATGATGTCAAATACTGTGTTTTCCTGAAAATGTTAACATGAAGTTTCAGCTGATCACCAGAGTGTATGATGCTCTTTGTTTGGTCTGGTGTCTGAATACTTAGCACTGGTTTGATGACATCTTTGACCTTGTTATAGATGCTTTTCACCTGACCTTCCAGAACACCTTCACCTTCCTCAGCCCATTACCAGGTTTTGTTTTCATGAGCTGATAATTTGCTGACTCACTCTCATCAACGCTGACTGCAAAGAGGCTGGGTGAACAGTTTAGAGTGGAACCACTGAGTCACCTGCAGAACAGCATACAGATTGTAACATCAAAAATAGAGACTGATGAGTGTTTGTGTTTGGTACAAACAATACTCCGAATGAGTCATTTAACCTCAATTGTGCATAAGACCTACTTGAAATCAGGATTAAGGTATAATGACTCGATGACTAGAATCCGACCATTCATCAATCACCCACGTACCATGTGACCACACTCACTAAGCTGGAGAGCTTTCAGCTTTACTGTCTTGCTCAGTGGCATTTCAGGAGCACTGTATGATCCAAAGGGCATAGCATACTCACTTTGTTGAAAAAAATAAATAAAAAAATCACAAAACAGCACTAAACTCTACAAAACTGCTATTTGTCTCTCCAGTTTTGACCATCAAATTTAAGGAATTGCAGCAAACCTGTCTTAAAAAGTAAGACCTGTGTTTTACTTAAATATGGTGTGTTGGATATAGTATAAGTCTGTGGTTGAGTACAAAGACACACAGGAAGCTTTTACACCACAACAGGGCTCAGTGGAAGACCACAGACAAATCATCACTTAAAATCCTGAGCTTAGTGGCAGAGGCGACGCCGCACAGACGAGGAAATTACCACCATCAGATGTGACTTACACTATATACACAGGTCAGTCCTGCTGGTGGCTACATGGAATATGCAAATACAGTTCATCCCAGGCATTAGAATAGTTGTTCTCTATACCACCTTTATCGTCGTTTCCTGTCATTCTGTGCTGCCTTGTCCGTCTCCATAACAACCATCTCCAAACTACTCTGCATTTTCAGTGACAGCCTGGGTGCTGCTGGAGGTGAGCGGGGCTCCACAGTGACAAGTACCGCTGTGACTCTTCATTTAATTGACAGATAACAAAGACAGGTGAGCCAGAGTGGGAAAAATCTGAAAAAATGGAGCCTACTTGTGGGAACCTCATTATCCCTCTCTCTGTTTTACTTCATAACAATCTTCACAGTTCCAGTCTAGTCCTGTTTGAAAAGTTGCCTCAGGGGAGTTAGTGCAGATAAGTGTGTATTTTGTAAATAAAAACCAAATGAGAGAATGAAAGTAATTTCTTTTAGGTTTTAGAGCCTCATTAAACTGCTGAAGCTGCCCTTCTGAAGTTAATGAATCTGTCACATATCAGTGCAGCATCTGATCCAGCAGTAGACTAATCTATACCTCTTGGTCAACACTGCTTGGGGAGCTTTGAATAGTTATAGATAGGACTAGTGTGGGTCATAGGGACTGCAGGCTCTCTGTCTAAAAAGACCTCAAAACTGGCTCTGTGATTGGAACCAACACTCACTTTTTCTTCAACCTCAGAACCAGAAAATGAGGTAACTATGGCTTCTACAGTATGTGCTGTAAATCTTCTCCAAGTACTCCGGCTACTTATGATGCTGAGCTATGTACAAATCATGACTCATCATAATTCATCATGGGCTCAGACAAAGATTTGCCAGATTATCCACACTTAAAACGGTGTTTTGGCACCTCTCCTTCATCACAACAAGCCTGTGTCAGTAGGAGTGTAAAGCTAAGGCTGGCATCACTTAAGGAGGTTATTTAAAGAGCTTTTCGCCAAAATACGATGCCCTCCATTTGGTGTTTAGGTCAGAGAAGAGAGCCCAGCAGTGTGAGAAACACAACCCCAGACAAAATGATTGATGGCACAAATCAAAAGCTAATTACAGTAGAGAACTTTGTAAAACAAAAAGTAACTTTAACAACAAGTGCTTCAGGGTTTCCTGTAGTGTATTCCCAGTGTAGGAGTCCTGCCGCCGGGCCTAACAGCTTTTCTGGCAGAAACACTGAGCTTCATCCATGGTTGTGAAAGTTTTATCACACTACTAGCACAGACTGGCAAAGCAAGACAAGTATTTTCAAATGTTTTTCAGGAGGATAAATTTGTGTGTGGTTGCCAATGGCAGCCTAGATTGGTCAGTAATACAAATTCATCCACATGAGTGTGACTTCAACAATCTTATCAGCTCTGTTTAAACTACGGTTACTGTGTTTTGAACCTTGTTTTTTGTAAACTGTATGGACAGAAATACCAAGTTTGAATGCAATCACAATCAATCAACATTTTCCCGATATGAATTTATATTGTTGTTTGAATGACTTAAAATGCAATGGAGAACAAAGAAAGATTGTATATGTGTTACCTACAGTATTTTAAAGAGACTACTCTTCTTAAGACTTTTGTCCTTTGTCAGTGAGCCTCTTGAAAAACATGGGAATCATCAATAATACATGTATTTTGATTATTTTATTGTCTAGACTGCTTTTAAGTGGCAACTACAGTTTCTCTGTTTATCTCCAGAGTCGGCAGAGGAAGCTTCCAAATTGTTTGTTTCCCAGTCGATTCACTTTGTCAAAGCCTGCCCTCAGTTCTCCCACATGGGTGAAATGGGAATAAAGAAAAGGGATGGAACAATGCCAATCAACACCTCAGCTTGAAAATCTTGCTGGAGGATAGACAGTAGTAAAACATATCAATATTAGAAGATAGACTGAGAAAAATATACACCAAGGTAAAAGGGCACACAGGTTACATGAGGCCACCCCCCACGTTTCAGGTACTGGTCTCTCTCCAATACCTCTAGCGTTTTTGAGGTCATCTATGTCAGTTGATTTTACAAGACGGTTCTTGTTTCTACTTCAGGTAAGGTGCTATCACTAAATGAAGTTAAGTCTAGGCATGAAAATAAGCACAATAACCCTTCAGGGAAAAAAAAAAACTTTAAGAAGCTCTTCCTCTGACCTGCACTTTGCAACATCTGCAAATTACTTTTAGGTTGAATCACTGTTGATGCAAATCTGTTCAGAACTGACTCAGAACTGCCATCCTGCAGTGACAATAAACACTGACTGAACTGAAACCAAGAACTTAACACAAACCATCAAACACAATATCCCTGGTTGGGCCTAAAAGCATGAGCTACCACATAGATGTGAGTGTGTGTGTGTTGCGTCTTCCTGCTTAGAACTGATTAGAAAGAAATGTGATGGGGGAGGGGGGTGGGATAATCCAAAATACATACAGCAAAAATAGTCACAGATAAACCACAAATCAAGTTGTATTAACTTGACTGTTCTCAAAGCACTGCTGAGCACGTACTTCTTTTTTCCTTCACATTTGAGCAAAAGAGAAAAGGGTTAGCCAAATCAACCATTCCCCATCTCAATCTTAGTGTGCACTTCTCCCTCTGTCATTCTCAGGCTCCGTTATTACTCAGGTAAAATACTGTAAAAGATCCTTTTATTATGGCTGGAATTTCTATGCAGACTGTAAAAGACTGTGCTGAAAATGCAGAGAGTGGAGTCAGGGGGCAGACAACAGTCCCTGTAAGCAGATGAACCTTCTCCTCTAAACATTTTTTAAGCTGAGGACGCTGCTGCAACACAAACTCAGTATTCACAAAGAAGCGAACAAGAAGCACATGCCTGATACGATGTCATATAAAAAAAAAGTAGAAATGAGCAGAACAACAAAACATAAACATCGATCTTTTGTTTTAAAAAGGTTAAGTTAAATGAATATATCGCACACAGTCATTGTCCCAAAGCTGCAGTGAATAAAGAGCTCTCATTAACATGTATCCAGTCTGTCCAAAGCCACACATCCTGCTTAATTTGATGTCCAGAGTTGTATCAGCGCCGAAAGTCCCTTCTCCAAACTCAAGACAGGAGATGATAATAATGATACATGGACCGGCTTGTGACTCCCTCTCCTCAGCCTCTCCATGACTTCTCTTAATTTAATCTGTCCCTATGCACAGCCTTTTCTCTGTGGCTCTCTTAAGTCCTGTGTGATCATCCTGTACATCTGTGTCTCTGAGCCAGTCAGTATGCTAGCAAGGCTCTGTCATACTGAGCAGACAGCAACAGTTGTTGGCCCCCTTGAAGAGCAGGAAGAGGAGGGAGGTCAAGAGTAAACATAAAAAAAAAAAAAAAATGCAGCTAACTACTTACAAAGCAGTGGTGTGTATCCGGTCAGTGGCCCAGGCAGACGAATGGGGAGAGAGAGAGAGCCACATGACAGACGTAGCCGAGGTGAAGCCGGTGCATGAATGAGAGACAGAGAGAGAGGGAGGGAGGAAGAGCTCGAGCGCTATGCAAGGAGGGAGGGAACAAGCATCAGAGTGGCTGATGATGATGAGGGAGCCAAAACATAACAGAACAGAGATGGAGGAAAGGAGAGAGGTAGGATGAATAGCTAGGACAAGTACAGGATGGTGAGAGTCTTATCAATTTGAAGGTGAAAGGAAAAAAAGTCATTCCCCATGTGTGACCAGCTCCTACCAGTCACAACATCAGGGTCCATTAAGAACTCCTCACGTTGTTCTGAGAGCATAAAAAGCAATAAGAGAAGCAATAAGAGAACGAGGATGAGCTGAATCCTCCCAGTAGGACTCTATTCCCAAAGAGACCTATCAGTTTCATGATGCCTCTTAACCTCACGTATAGCAGGAAGAGCCAGAGTAGAGCAGCTGTCAACCTCCAAAGATATGGACCAGAACACGGGCGCCCTCAAGTACAAATTTAGTAGATGATTCAGTTGCCTAATGGTTTGTAGAGCGAGTGAGTCTAGAGAGAGAAAGTGATCTCACTTTCCTAAATAAGTACAATTAAACAGACAAGGCAGGGAACTGTGAAGCCAATCAACAGTTTTGTTTTGCTGGAAAATTAGCTAAACTACAGCATGTGAATGTGTGTTACCCTCCTTGCGCCTGCATTTACACCACCCCTAAAATGTCTTATCAGGGATGCTTACACACAACAACATAATGAATATGATTTATCACTTACATCTCATTGGTTAGTGCTCACAGCTCAGAGGTTGGGCTACAGCTATACCCAAGGTTTCAGATAGCTATTAAAATGTTGCTGTGAGTGAAATATGATTTTGTAAAGAAAGGTTAAGTGCGGCAAAGAGATCTGAATAGTATTCCAAACAGCATGAGTCACATTTTGTTATTTCACAGTGAAACTCTGATAATGGATCTGAATAGGCCTTTTTCACAGCAGACATCTTGACTGGTCATAGCAGAAAAAGAACAGGTGAAACAAATTTCATTGTCGATGGCTCAGCTCCATTAAGCGTCTCAGTAACCCACGCCAATGTGCCAATGTGCCAGTGTGCTTTTAATGTTATAATTTACACCTGTGCTTTCCCCGCTATAACATGCCAAAATGTCTGCAGTGAAAAAAAGTCTATTCAAAGTTAAAATGTTCTCCTGAGGAAAGCCTTCTCTCCCCATAGTGATAAAAACACTTTCAGTGGTTGAACACAGCAGTGCATCTGGTTATTCAAAGTCAAAAATGAACTTATTTCTCTGCAAAGTCTATTAGCATTATCAGCCTTGTCCATTTTTTTTCTTGTTTTCCAAGTTCATGACCCACTTACTGTATGCATGTCATAAATACATGTTTTCATTAGAAACTTCATTTCTAGGTCAAGAAAAGTTATTATCAATTCAATTTTATCCAGTGTAAGTGGAACGGCTATGGTATGACAACTCAGTGCAATGTATGCATTCAGTCTCCAACCTAGTGATGACACAAAATATCAACCATCTTGGCAGAAAGTGAATAAGATTTTTTTTCCCCCTTTATTTTTCACAGAAAAGGGAAACATCCCCAGTGGTATAGCATCTACCAAATAATCTATTAATGAAGAGCATCTGTGTTTATCACTGCTGTCAGGAATTGCCAGTAAAGATACAGTATTTTCAAAGGATGTGGGTGAATCTTTTGGACTTCCTAGACAAAACAACAACCACATCAGATTCAGCTGATTCTGCTGCTAATTAAGTATGCTATGATGCTAAGCTAGCTGGGTCAAAGCAGACAGTAGCATTTACTGTAACATTCCCTGCTAACTCTAACATCTTCACGAGGATGCAATGTCTTCAATATGGTCATCAACATGTGTGCAGCTCATGGCGCTGCCTAAAAACAGCCCAAACTAAACAACATCAGAGTTTCCACATCTAATACGCCTAATTTCCAGTGCTGCCTCCATAGTTACTCACTCTTGCTAGACTTACAAGACATTTGTTAAAATTAGGTGGGTGCTATGGGCGACTATTTTACAATCAAAACAAATCTGAAGCGTTCTGGCCGAAGGCTCGTCAGCTTTTATATGGCATTTCTTAGGATGAAGACAGAGACAGTTGATGACTACCAGTGTTTTCCAGTGTTTAGTCTCTGTAGCACAGCGGTACTAAATTAGCTTAAAGAGGCCATTTCCTATTGGCCACAAAGGTACTGTGCATGCAGATGTCAGTGCAGTTGGCAGATGAGTAGTGAGGTCTATGTGACCCCCATCATCTGTGCTGACATCTGGACCATATGTCTTCTACACTGAGGGGCCAGGGTCCAGATTCAGAATAAAAACAGGGCACTGGGGGTGGAATCAGTCCAAGGACCCACAAGGGCATTGGTTGTAAAGTGAGGCAAGGGCTGGTAGTTCATTAAACAGCAAGAGTGCGGCATTAACGCTGGGCATTTTTATGAGGGGTGACAATGTGCATGAGTTTTAAGTTATCAAAGAAATATGCACTTTACAGCATGTACTTCATCATGTCATGAATGATCCATAAACAAGAAATAAATCTGAAAACTGATACAGTGCAAAAGGAGGAAACCAAAGAACTGTCCACCATTCCATTTTAACTTCATACCCTTTTAGTCCCTACCCTCTTTTCCTCAAGAGGCTCTTGCCTTTTGCCAGGCCACCAATGTGAATAAGCATTTGTTCTTAATGTCTTCCCTGGCTAAATAAAGGTAAAATAAAAAATAAAAAATAAAATAGACCCTTACTTTCTAAAGAAGATATCTGGAGGAATGGTGTGGAGAAGTGAGAAAAGGCAGAAGAAGGATGAAGTTAAGGATGAGAAGCGAGAAAGATAAAAGTAAAGTAAGGGGAATGGGATGAAGAAAAGCCAGAGGGTTGCCAGTAATTAGCCATCTGAATGTCCTCGCGAAAAATAGATAGCTGATACAAGCAGGAATTTCCTCAGAGATGGATTAGAATAACACAGAGAGCCTTTGTGGTCGCTGATGCTCCTCTATCTCAGGGATCAGATTAAGCGTAGCTCCATGAAAATATTACTCTCTGATCACTCCACGTGACCATGGGACACAGTGATGATATTGTAATTTGCTCAAGGGTGAATTCTATATTCCAGATAGACACGTGGGGTACACTACATACACAAGGTGGACGACTTAAAGATGTTGGATGACACTACTTGTAAGGGAAAACACAGATCATTGTGAAACAAGAAGCGATTCACAAGGGATCTGAAATTCTCCACAACGATTCATAACAGAAACTGTTTATGGGGTTATTGAATATCACCCATTTACTCTCTGTTTTAAAAATTTTAAAAAGAAAAGCTACATGGCAAGATGCCAGAAAAATCCAAATGATTTCCATCCACATTTACTCCTATGTCATTGGGGCAGGTTTGCCTGTGAGTACTGACTTTTTGAATCCCATGAGTCACCTGTTACAAACTGTCTGCGACCACACTTAATGTCAGATCACTTCCAAGAAAAATGCCTGCGGTTAGACACCCATAATACATGGCCAACCTGCCATTAAGGTTTACTGCCTTTGATCTATCAGAGCTGTGTTTGTATGTGAGGCGCTACTGTCATGTGTGCATCCACACATGCACATACACACACAAACACCACTAAATCCTCCCCAACAGCTGTTTTTACACCACTGCCCTCACACATATGTTGGCACATCTTCCACTTCGTCATCCTCATCCATCCCTCTGTTTACCAGAGAGTGACACAATCCCTCACTCCCATTTTTATTTTCCTCAACTCGGAGTGACAGGGACCATAACAGGATCATCCATCCCTCTGTCCTTCGCTATCAGCTGCCCTACCTGCAGGTGGGAGGACTCAGCGCAATCGCAGCTTTGTCACTATAATGACTTCCTTTTACATGTTGTTGCCGCAGCAATAAAGTGAGTGAAGGATGTGAATCTTGACCCATTCTTCTTTCTTGATGGTGATTTACCTAGAACCCCAATAAATCAATTTTCTTATTGAGCTCTGGGATCATAAAAGTCTATCTTAACGACATTATTAAAGCAGGAACAAGAGCAGGCTATCCATCAGTGATTTCAATGATTGATGAGTCATTCAGGGAGTGAAGCTGGGTTTATACTTGACGCAAGAGGGTGACAGCTTTCCTGCCACTATGGTTCATGTGTCTCTAAAGCTATGCTGTAACCCCTTGACACACAACTACAAATCCCCCTTGATAGTAGGAAATGAAGGACGGAAGGTCATAATCACTCATATTTATTTTTGGCATTTTCATACATGCCAGAGTCATGATTTGATGGGATTTGTGGATGTATCCCAGACGCTGCTGAAAATTTCCACGAACCAATGTGGTGTGAGATGCTGTTACAGGCGGCTGCGTCCTACTGCATTAGAGTCCCGTCAATCACCACCAGAGTGGTGGTTAGGAGAGGTGTGGGATGACGAGTGCCTTGAGTGGAGAAAAACAGCCTCAAACGTCTGGGTATGAGTGATAGTAAAGCTCTTTGTTATACTGTACACGTTTTTTCTGAGCAATTCCTGCCGAGGGTCAGGAAGCCAATCAAACAATTGGCTTCCAGACCCTCAGTGGAAACATGGAGACCTTTTAGCTTTCTGATCACGACTCCAGCAGGCATGATATAACAAGAGGCCAGTGTGAGTTCCAGTGTCTATGGAGAAACGGGAGAATGTCATGGTAATATATCTCCAACCCCTTTGGAGAGAGAAGGATGAGGAAACAGTTGAGCTCCTTGGCTCGGCTTCGCCCCCAACCAGTGCTTTTCTTTTTCAACCTTGCCAGCGGACCAGTAGGGATGTCGATTTCAGTTCTGTTCTCAGCCCATCCAGAGCCACTCTAGATAAGGAGCCGGTCCAGGAGGGAAACGTTTTCCAACAGCAATGGACGGCACGGATGAGA